TAACTTTACAGCAAAATATAGCAGCTTGTTTTAAGTCAATAATTACATTATATTGTTCTAAAAAGTACTAATTATTTCACTTAGAAAATGGCAAAAATATATTTTTATAAATTAATACTTTTTCATCAGTCTTAAGGAATTATTTACTTGAAAAAAGCTCTTATATCTTGCGGAAAAGCTTCGCTTAACTTAGTTTTATCTTATTTCAAGTATTTCAAGAGATGTGCATTAAAAATAGACATCATTTTTTTTTTTTTTGCAGTGAAAAGTTTAATTTAAATCCAAAATTCTTTGAGGAATTAATAAACATTAAGTGCATTTTAGTCAATTAGCATTTAGCTTTGCATAACTACGTCTTGGACTATACCAATGAAATTATTCTTTATAATGATAAAAATAAGTGACTTATCATCAGATAAGAAATAGTCACTGCTGATTATATAAATATGATAATTTTAATCTTAATGTTTGGTTACAAATAAATAAAAAAGAAGATGACTACATCATGATTAAATAAAAATTTGAATATAACTAAAACGATTTTTGCTCATTTTCTAGATATTCAGAGAAGGAATCCTAACATTGTTAAAGTGTAAAACACCATAAAAGTAATGCAAAAAGCTTTACAGTCTTTTATTTTTAAGAAATATTTGTTTTTTTCTGTGTTTTTTTGCCTGACCAGTGAAAAGGTTTGTACATTTTTGCATTTTATTTGTGCTCTTTTGCGCCTCCTCAGCTTAAATCAGGGGATTCCTGGTCTCCCTCCACGAAGGAACAGCTGAGAGCAACCAGAGTAGCAAAATAAACCTGATTGAAAGCCAACGTTATTTTTGCTTTGTGATTATGTGTAATTTCATTGATCTCATCTGCTTTGATCTTTACTGGTTTCCACTCCTGCTGCTGTAATCTGGATTAACCAGTTTTATGTTGGAAATCCAGAGGCTGCCGGTGAAACCAGAGCAAAAACATACATCTTAGTTATTTTTGGTCGAGTTTTTAGTGGAAATATCCTTGACAGTGTCTTATTGCAAATTTAAAAAATGAGGAAGAGTAAATTTCCAACAAGAAACGCAGAAGTTCTTACATTAATTTTAGAAATTTTCTGGAAAAAACTTTAAGAAGTCCAAAATTTACTGGAAAAAAAATTAATTTTGAGATTTAAAAAAATTTAAAATTTTCGATTTTAGAAAATCCAAGTTTTTTTTCTGAGAATAATCTAAAAATTTCTGGGTTCCTCTTTTTGAAAATATTTTCTGAAATTTCATTTTCAGAAAAAGGAAAAATTAAAAAAATAACATTAAATTGGATTTGGAATGCAAAAACCCTGATATTTTATTTTAACCTTCTTGGCTCTTCTCTTTTAATTTGTTTTTCATATTTTAATTTCTCAAAATTGGCAACAAAACTCTTAATGTTTCTCTTTCTGTAGCATTTTTACTTTACAGTAGGTGTCAAACATAAGGCCTGGGGGCCAAATCTGGCCCGCCACAGCTATTTCCATGGCCCTCTTGATTCTAGGGATTCACAAATTCAGGATTACAGTTATGTGCTTAAATATCATTTTATAAATCAAATTCAAGCAGTTTTATCTGTAAACTGCTGAATTACATCAATGTGAAAACATGGTTGAAATTACTTAATCTTGAAAAGTGTTCATTGAATGCAGAGACAGATATTTCTAATATTTTTACAGTTTATTTTTTAGGTTTTATCACTGTATACTGCATTTGTGATCTTAATTTGGCCCAAAATTAAAATTATTTTAACACTCTCACTGAGAGTTTTTCAAAATAAATCCAATATGTTTATTATTTTAGCTAAAAAAGTTCCTCTTTGGTGTGTTTTTGATGTCTTCTTCATCTGGGACAGGAATGAAAAACCCTCTTTAGTGAGGCTGAGACACGCCAGACTCTTGGGTGTTTTTACATATTTACATGCGACTTTAACGTCTGTTTCCATACAGATGTTTGTTCTCTGCAGAATCTGTAAGGCGACCCGCTCCTCCGCAGTCTTCAATCACCATCAATCACTTTCTAGACCATCAGTATGCCGGTCTGTAGGATCTGGAATGTGAAGAAGCTCTTTGGTTGACCTGTGGAAGACTGACTGAAGGAAAAAAAGGGGCTGTTTTCTATAAATAATATATAACCTGTTACCCTTTGGTCTGAATGTGTGTGTGGATGGTTGTTGGACCTGTGTTTATCTCTGTGTTGTCCAGGGTGTTCCCCAACTTTTTGACATAACTGAGCATTGTTATAATGTAGCATTTCCCATTACACATCTGAACAGAAGGTCAGAGCAGATTGAGCTTCAACAAAGGGAAGAAAAAGTAAAATATCTGGAAATTATGAAAAATTGGAGAGTAGTAGGAGAAAGTAGCACAGTGAGACAAACACAAATCCAAGTCATATTAAAGTTAAGCAAACTCCAAGTTTACATTTGTTATGATTGGACTAAAAAGGCTTTCTTGACTGCAAGATGTCACTTTCTGCTGCAGTTCTCTGACAGTGAGACTTGAAGATATTTTTAACCTCTCTTAAAAAATATCTTTTCTGTGGGTGTCCAGACTTGTGACAAACGGCTAAAAAGGGACTCTGTGTCAGAACCATAATTCTGGAAAACAGGAAGTGTTTTGTTGCTAATCTTAAATGTAATAAAAAAAAAAGTATAAATAAAAAATGCTTTATTTACTTTAAGACGATAAAAAGGATTTAGCCAAAAACTGTAATTTCTTAATGTTGTCCAAAGTTAAGGATTTAATTTTTCTTCCATTGTGAGATTACTGAATTAAAATCTTAATTTATTTTAATTATTTTTAGGAAATAAATCTGTCCACGTCTGTACCGCTTCCACACTGTGCATTATTAATATAAACTTGTTTCCTCCTCAAACTTAGTAGGATTTTGTGATACCTCCATATTTTTAGCACAGAAAAACAGGAAGTCAAGGTTTACTACTCGAAAGATAAAAAAAATAAACCTAGATTTAAGAAATAATGCTTCCGTTGCATTTATTATGTAGAATTTAATTTTTAATTTTTTTAGAATTCTTAAATTTGGAACCTTTTTGCTTTATTGTGAGAACATAGTCAAACTTTTTAGCATTTTTTAGGGTCATTCTGCTGCAATAGAGCACTTTATATTGTTTTAAAGGCTTCTTGGATTGAAGAAAATGCAAAAAGACTACAGAACAGTCTAAAACCAGTAGTAAAAAAGGCATGGTTTGAAACTATTGCACAAGAACCAGCAGCTCAGTTCTTATCTAATTTTAAAATGTCCTGTTTTTTAACTTCTGTTTTGATTCAATCTGTTTTCACTTCTTGACTCCCTCACACTCCAGATGTTCATTTGTGTTTTTCCTCATAAGAAACTAAAAGGTATTGTATAATTGTGTGAATAAAGAAAAAAATACCTTAGAATCGGTGGTTCCGCCTGGTTTTCAGTTCTCTTTCCTGCAGCTCCCCCTGCTGGTCGCAACCATCTTACTGCAAGTTTGAAGTTCTTCCAAAATGGCACTTTATTAGCATTTTACTCATAATTTCCACAAAGTTTCAGCTACGTACTGAGCTAAGTATGTGTACAGCTAAATTAATATAAAATATTATTTTCCAATCATTACTTATCTTCTGGATGTTGGAGCAGCTTTGTTATGTTAATTTTTATTTATTCTTTTTTTGTTGTTGATACATTGCATATTTGGACAGTTATTCCCTCTGGCTTCGGATGCCATGTAGCTGGAAGGATGTTTCCATCTTGCAGTCATTATTATGCGTAACCATGGCAACAAGAATATTTTTTTGTCCTTTTTTCACAACTTGGAGAAGCTGATTAGCATTTTAAAAGCTCAAATAACACCTGAACTGTAACACCAAATCCCCAAAAGAACTGCAAAAGATGCTTTTTGGAATATATGGCCTGACAGTGCTTTATAGAGAAGCTGCAAAAGCAAATGAGGTGGATTAGCAGTGCTTGCTAAAATTTGATGTCGTCCTCCAGAACATGGTACTGAGAAATATTGTCTCTCCTCCAAACAAAGTGAGCTGTTAGCATGTTGTAACAGTCATGAGAGAGCCATATAGCATGAGTCTTCAGTCAGAGACCTTCTACGATTCGTTGGAAGACTGACTGCTACTGGAGAACCTTGCTCCCCAGGGCTTCCCCTCCCATCATGAGTCTTTGCGGATAAAAACATGTTAAATAAAGCATTTTTTCAATTCAATTGTCTTGTCTTCCCCCCTCAGAAGTAAATTTTCTCAAAACAGTAAGTTAGAATCACCATTTACATTAATTTAATTTCCAAAACAAACCTTTGAAGGATTGATTTTCAGTAAACTGATGATGAAAGCCTGGATTAAACAAACTAATTTACTTTATTGTTATTTTTAAACACAAACATATTTAATACCTGTTGGTAAACACTGAAAAAAAAAACTTCCAGCAAACAAAACATTCTGCTCTCAAAATCTGATTAGATTTTTAACCTTTAAATCAACTGAAATTGGTGAACGTTTGTGCAGCAAAAGTATTAATTTGTGCTGCTATCATTTTAAAGATATTAATAAATGTTCCCAAAGGTCATCAAAGGTCGACGAGTCGGTCCAAATCAACATAATCAAACCAATTTGTTGTCTATTAACTGTGCTGGTCAAATCTAGCACAACTAGTTTAAACCAGTTTAGTTTGATTTTGTTAATGTGAGAAAGGAGAGCAGGTTGATGTCTGGTGACCTGAAAACAGCTAAAAAAAATAAATAAAAGGACAAAAAAAATTATGACTTTTTTATTTGAGTTTTTGGGAAATTGCTGCAACTGAAATGTTTCTATTTGTATTATTAATTTCTTGGTATTTTACTGGTATTTTTTGGTATATTTTTTGTTTTTAAGATCATTTTTATTGATCATTTATCTGTCTTTAAATGTGTTTTATAAATAAACTTTGATTTGGCCTCTGGAGATTATAATGGGACAAACAAAAATGTAGCACAGTTGACTGATCTTTTTGTTTTTGGTTCATTTTGTGAATGTGGACCATCTGGTTGACCTTTGACGACCTTGGGAAACATTTTTTAATATCTTTAAGATGACTTGAAAAGAGCAGGGATTCACATTCACTCGGATGGGAATCAGAACTTTTTTTTAATACGTTTCTGTTTTTTCTTTAAGTCAGATCAGGAAAATATCACTTTGTTATAAACAAATAAAACATTTCAAACGAGTATCTGAGCCTCAAACTCTGTGAAAGTCAGAGCAGAACGACTCACAATGTTCCAGTTCCTGTCTGAATAACTTCATCTCAGTTCCCTTTCAGCGCCTTTCCTTCAGCCCAGATCGATTAGATCTTTTTCACGTTGCTCCTTTTCTGTTTGTCGACTCCTCAGCCACTCCTCTCTTGCTTTTTTAACCTCCTGCCCATAAAAATCATGGAGTTTACTGAACTCCACGAGCGGGTCGGACCCCACCAGAGGCCATTCGCCGTACGGCGGCGCCGGTCCGTTCAGTGGCGTCACGTGAGCGTTTCTCCTCGGCCACTTTTTGGGCGACTTTTTGGCGGCCATTTTAGTAGGCATTGATGGTGGCGGTAGAGCGTCGCTGGCGCTGAAGCTCCTCCCCTCCCTGACGAGTGAAAGTGGGAACAGTGCTGGAACCAGGAGGCTGTTGGTGGGCGGACTGAGGGATTTCAAAGAGGAGCAGGAGTTGGTTGGGTCCTGTTGCTGTTTAGCTTCTTCAGGAACAAGAAGAAACAAGTTAAAAGTTGTTGCTATATGTGTTTTAAATATCCGTAGCAAGAGTTTCATTAGTGTACATTATTAGTCGTGTTTGGAAATAGCAGCACAACTTCTCAGATCAGTTTCAGATCAAGAAACTAATTTTAAAGGTGACCTATTATGCTTCCTTGAACAAGTTAGGGTAGCTCTATAACCTCTACGAAACATAATTATTACCTTGTCTTGCATAAAATCATGCCTATCTTGAGCTGTTTCAGGGCAACTTGTCACTTTAAATCCAAATAAGTTGCTGCTGGCCACACCTCCAAATCAATGTTTAAACTCACACACGAAAATGGCTGCAAACAAATGCGCAATAATACAACTGTACATCTTTGAAAAGCAGAAGTGGAGCCTCTGGCACAACCAACAAGAATGTAGGAAGTGGTTTCTGGGTGGTAGAACAACAAAACACTTATCTTTTCCAGCAGCCATTGTACAGTGCATACAGGGGTAAAACCAGTTGACCAAATGTGCTGGAGCTCCCCATGAGTTGCTAGGTAATGGCGAAGTGTGACTTCATGATTTGGAGGTTTTTAGATAACTAATTTTCCAGAAACCAAAAAACATTAATTTATTTCCTAAAACTGAACAGTTTTTAGAAACAACTGAGGCCAAAACGAAAGTACAAAATGTGAATTTTTCTTTCCTTCAAGATCAGACAACATGTAGCAAAGCGAGTGACAGCTTTTGATCTTCAGTTGAATAAAACCTAAACTGAAGTTTTTATATTTGGATCTAAAGAGGAACCATCGAGACTCAGCAGACACCTTCAGTTTTTAGAGACCAGGCAGTCAATCTGGGTGTAGTGATGGATTCAGACCGAACCTTCAGAGTCATGTAAAGACGGTTACAAAGTCGGCCTTCTATCACCTGAAGAACATTTCCAGGATTATCTGACCAGATCTAGAAAAACTCCAGACCTCTCAGGTCTTATGGTTTTGGTCTACTTTGCAGAATCAGAACCAAACATGGAGAAGCAGCATTTAGTTTTTATGCTCCATTAATTTGAAAAGAAAACTGCAAAACAGCCGGAATACTGAGTTCCTTCAAACCAAGGCTAAAACCTCACCTGTTTAGAGTTGGTTTTGATTAATAATAGCTGGAATATCATTAATTTTAGTCTATATTCCAACTTTTTTTCTTTTATTATGTCACAGCAATTAATTATTTTATTTTCTTATTTCCTTGTGTCCCAAATCTTCAGATGGCTTAATAATCATTTGTATATTGATATAAATGATTTCTTGTATGTTAATTATTTTTTTCTCATAAGAGCATGGTGTGTTGCTTTTTGAGACATTTTAACTGACTTGTTCTTATTATTTTATTTTTGTAATTATTATTCTGCAGGTCAGACAGTAATTAACATAATGTGTACTGGAACTGAATCCTAACATTTTAAATGGAAAACTTGCAGGTATTGACTAACAACTGGCTGAAGGAGGGAAATACGTTAAAACAGGAATTAAAATATTTTTACATCTACACTGCAAAAACACAAAATTTTACAAAGTATTTTTGTCTAGTTTCCAGTACAAATATCTTACTACACTTGAAATAAAACAAAAGTAGCTTAAAAATAACTTTGGTAACATTTTATTTGAATGGGGGAGGATAAGGCTGACATGACACTGTCATAAACATGACATAACGCCTGTCATGAACACCAATAAGTCTTCATGAATATTTATGACTGTTGTCATAAAGCATCATTCGGTAAATTATGACACTTTTAATACAAAGTTGACATTATTCAAAATGTCTTTGTTATGACAACTTGACATTAACCAAGAAATCATTACTGATATAAATTTGTTATAAAAGTGTTATTGATTGCACTTTAAAAATTAAAGGTAAAGTTTAAACAGTAATGATTTCTTGGTTAATGTCAAGTTGTCATAATAAAGACATTTTGAATAATGTCAACTTTGTATTAAAAGTGTCATAATTTACCGAATGACGCTTTATGACAACAGTCATAAATATTCATGAAGGCTTATTCATGTTCATGACAAGTGTTATGTCATGTTTATGACAGTGTCATGACGGTCTTATTCAACCCCCTTCAAATAAAGTGTTACCATAACTTTTCAGCAAGATATAGGAACTGAAATAACATGTTACGTAAAATGTACATGTTGCATGTTTTTGTACTTCCATTTGGGTTTTTACTGCTTCTATAAACAGACCAAGTATTTACAAAAGCAACCAGATGTGTTTTTGGCAATAAGTTTATGTTTTTTGGTGTCTGGAAAATTGTCTGTTTCAAAAACCTCCAGAATGTAACATCACAAATCAGCAGGCACTGCCTGTTACCTAGCAACCCCAGCAGAGTTACATCTGTTACCTAGCAACCCAAGAGAGCTCCAGCACAAAACAACATCCTGTATTGCTGAAGTTAGTTGTAAGTTAGCTTTGTCTTATTTCAAGTGTACTAAGATATTCACACTAGAAACTAGACCAAAATGTTTAGTAAGATTTTGTGTTTTTACAGTGTATAATCCAAAAAATGATAATAAACAACACAATATATCTACAGACACACCTTCATACTGCCTCCCCAGGTCTCTCACCAGATTGGAGAGGTAACAGTGGCTGGCCAGGAAGAGCGCTTTAACCCAGCGCCCCTGAGTCTGAGCGTCTCCGGCGGCAAACCTGTAGGTTTTGAGTCCGGACCCAAACTGCAGGGCGAAGGGGAAAAACCCGTCAGAGTCCAACATCTGGACCGTGCAGCCCTCCAACACGATGACGCCCAGAAGGTGACGGTCAGCCGGACGCTCCTGGTAGAACAGCAGGTTGGCTTTCAGCACAAACCACCGCCTGTAGTAAGTGGCATTTCTCTCCTTCTGTTAAATCAGTAAAACAAATATGGAAATTAAATCTTTTTTCAGATAATCAAAATGTGATCCGAGGTTTGTGTTTGATTGCTTTCCTGAACCTTTTTGTAGAGATATCCCTCCTTATCCACTGGAGATGTGCATGACAGGAAATGGGTCAGAATCTTTTCATGGAGCTTCATTCTGACTCCTAAAACACAAAATACATTTAGAAATCACTGAACTGCTGAAAAATCAAACGTTCACAGTTTTAAGAGCAGATTTTTAAATTCCTGCAATACAACGCCGTTAAGCCTCGTTAAAAGCAACAAGTTAATCTGATTTATCTACTTCTAGAGTTGAGTAATAACTAGTTACATTTATTCAATTACATTTACTCAAGCAACTTTTTTGAAAAAAAAAAAAAACTTTTTGGAGTATTTTTACTGAACTGTACTTTCTACTTTTACTTACTTTTATTATGCAGTATCTCTACTCTTATATGAGTTAAATTTCTGGATTTGTTTTAACTAAAAATTCCCCAGACACAGACAGACACCTGCAGTTTTTATTAAAGCTTCATAAGTTTCTTATTGAAAGAAACTGATTTTATTTTTATTTTTATTTTCCCTAATTTTTTATTATTATTATTATTATTAGTTATATAAATTATTGCAATTTTGGTCCTTAAAATACCAACATTTCCATTTACCTTTATGTTTTGATATAATTTATAAATATTAAATGATTGATAATTTGATCAGTTACTCAGTACATGAGTACTTTTTACCAAATATGTTTTTACTCGTACAATTTTTGGTTACTCTACCTTCCTCTGATTAGTGGTTTCACAATTGGTGATTGATTAACGGATAACTAAAATAACACTACTTAAAAAAATTGGAAAGATAGAAATAATCTTAACGTAATCCGTTTCCTTCTTTTGGTGACTGAAGATTTTAAGGTTAAAATTATTTAACTGTACAAATTACAATTAATGCAAACATGGACACAATTATCATAAGTGCAAAGTAATTAAAATAAATTCATCCTTAACTGAGATAACAAAACAATGAACTTGATTTAGATTTTAAAAATGGACGTCATATAATTACAGTAAAATTATATCAATGACAGGAAAAAGTTTTTTACTGCAGATGCAACCTTTGCTTTAAATTATCAAGCGTTCACTAAAGGAATGCTACAGGCAATAAAAATTTATATTTTCTTATTTTAAAAACAATTTTATTATTATTATTATTTTTGTATTTCTAATTAAGTAAAAAAAAAATTGCGCCAATTTTTTTATCCGATTAATTGATTAATCGTCAAGACTGATAATAGAAAAATTAACCGATAGCTAAAATAATCCTCGTATTTGCTCCCTAGTTTCCACAAAAGTTTAAAAGAGGGAAGAAGAATAGAAGTAATCTTAGGTTAATCCAGTTTTCCTTCGTTTGGTGACTACAGAGAGAAAATGATAAACAGTGACTCACACTTACCTCAGACGGGGCTGAATCTCCCGCAGGGTCAACTCGCTCTCTCTGCAATCAATTAATTAATATTTTTCTCTCGTTCTTTTTCATCCTGTCGCTTGATAAAGTCGAAACCAGTTGTTTCCCAGCTGGCTGACTCAAGCAGACCCAGACAACGCTTGAATATTTAGTTTCAGGTTACTAACACTGGTTCTCTCACGAGGACGAGGGGACGGCGTTGAAATATAAATAACCCGACCCACTTCCTGGTAACAATACCCCGACACATTATAGTCTGCTTTGAGCTGATGGGGTTGGACGCGGCTGAACCAAGAAACTAAAAAAATTATTTAAAAATGCAACTTGTGACGAGAAGCGTCACCTAGAAGTGAGACGCCAACCGCTGTTAGTTTTCTCTCTCACTTCCTCCTTTGAGTTTATTTATGATTCATGTAGGTGGTTGATTCTTTGGGGAGTTGCACAGAGATGCGTTAATATGTATTTATGCTGAAAGCAAGCAGAGAGACATTCACTGACCTCTGGGAAACGTGGCTATTTTTGTTATGGATCTCCATGATGTGTTAAGACTTCAGGGCTGAGTCACCGTAACTGTCCTTTAAAATAAAAATGTTTCAGTGCATGTTGCTTTCTACCACTTATCTACATATTTTGAATATTTTTGCATATTTATGACAGATTTTTTTTTCAATAAGTGGGTAAAAACTTTTCTTAACCCACTCATCTGAAAAATTTGATTTTTCAAATGCAGTAAGGAAAATTAGCTCACATCATAAAATGTGTTTTGTCTTTTAAAAAGCTGAATAATTAAGAAAATGTCAGTGATGATATGTAGGGGGGGAAAAAACTTGAGCATTAAATTATGGATGTTTAATTATCAAACAAGTTATTAAAACAGATGTCAGTAAATATTACATAGGATTTTTTTATTTAGGGAAGTAAGAAAAAATGGCCAAAAAAGAACAAAAGTCCTTTGGCATCAAGAAGTTACAAGGATTTGGTAGATAAATATAGAAATAATAATAATTATAATAACAATAATGAGTTACTAATAATAGTACTTATTATTAATATTAATAATAATAAATATTAGTAACCACAATGTTAGAAATAATTAATAGTAATTAAATAAATTAGATAATTTTAATTTATTTAAATTTTTACTTTCTGTCTAGAATAACCAAGTATGGTACCAAAAGTGATAACTAACTAACTAACTAACTAACTAACTAACTAACTAACTAACTAACTAACTAACTAACTAACTAACTAACTAACTAACACCTTTTTTAGTTACAATTTGAATAAATTGTCAAAGTAAATAAACAAATAAATACTACCCAGTTCTTGTCTTCTTCAGTTAGAATAAAATGAATAAAATAAAAACTTTGTTTAAAAAAGACTGTACATAATAATTCAATCTGGTCTTCACCGGAATTGATTAATATTGATCAAACCCAAACACGGTACCAAAATTACTACAGACATGGTGGTTTTTGATTGTTTGTTTTTTCTAAATAAGTAAAAGTTTTCACAAATGTCACATTAGGGTTTGCAAAAATCAACTTTCAAGATGCAATCATCCAGTCCATGTTTCTTGAAATGTTAGTCTTTGACTTTTTGAATTTAAGATTATTTAAAAGTTTACAGGTTTCTTTAAAAAATGTTGATCTGTATTCTATTTGCTGGGAGCTTCACAGTTGTGTTTTAAGTATCATGTTATATTAAATTAGCAGTTATTTGCATTCCTTTCCAGAAGGGGGCGATAGTGCGTCAGGTCTGTTTTGTTCAGCAATGTCAAAGTGCAAGGACGAGGAAACGAAAACGAACTATTTTCATCAGGTTCTTACCATTCTTTACACATTTATTAATTCATCAGGTGCAATTCCTAAACATACGTTTTAAACTTGATGTTTATCTAATATTTAAGCACTTGGCGGCTTTTAATCTCTAAAAAGTGTTTGATTTACGCTTCACATGCTCTCCATGCGCTGTGATGTTTTTATTTTGAGCTAATGTTGCTAACGTTGTACCATCAAGCTGCATGCTTAATTTATAAATCCACTGATGATTTAACTCACCTTTAAGCTGCGCTGCGGTAGTAAAGGAGTCTCCTTATATCCTTCTGTAGCGCCATGTCGAAAAGAAAAGTCACATTTGAGGACGGAAACGGGGAGCTCGACCTGGAAGATGACGGCCTGAGTAAAAAGGTGCTTCTTTTATATGACTATTAGAGATTAGAGCGTTATTCTGGCGGTATCCAGTGAACTGTTTCCTAACACTGCTTCATAAAGCAGGACAAGTTGTTTTTATTTGAAGCAGACTACGAGCTATATTAATAATAAAAAACTTGTCAGATTGGTTAAATAATCCTAAACATGTTGAAAATAAATTTATTTATCAAATTCTTGCATGTTTCACTAAAAGTGCGTGCTTTACAATGACAATTACTATGGTGATGTCAGATAATGTGAAAAATGATTGTATTTGGTAATATGAGAAGTAAAATGAAATTCTGGCTAATCATTTGGGGAAGCATTTATTCTTTATTTTAGTCAGGCTTCAAAAGGTCAATAATGATTATTTCTGTAGCCTCAGAAAATGGTTGTGTGTCTGTTTGATCAGATTCCACTTTATTCTTATTAATAAATCTTCCTCACGCACCTGACTTGCTTATTCGGAGTACCTCAAGGTTCAGTGATTGGATCAATGTTCTTTAATACATGTATAAATATATAGCAAGGGATACATTTCCACCATGCTCTTAATGTCAGGTAGAACTGAACAGAAAATAATTTAAAAGGAAAATTGTCAAAAACCGTCTAGAGAGCTGTTGCCTTCGTAAAATCAAATTAAAAATAAATTTGAGAGCTTTATAACTTTTGCACAATACTATACACCACAGTGAATTTATATCAGATTTCACTGTAGCTGTAAATCTCTTGTGTGGCTGCCTCTATTTACGGGCATGTCTAAACTTAGCTTTCAGTTAGCAGAACTTGAATGTCTGTCTGACTAGAAGCCAAACCGCTTACAGCCTAATGAAGCTGTTCGTGTTACATTTTACACGATGGAAAGGAATTTTAAATTGTTTCACTTGACTGAGCACAAGAAATATGATACTCCTGCTTGGTTACCGCAGTGGAAAAGACGAGTTAAAAACCGCTCTGTTCTGATCATCTGAAAAATGAAGAACTCTTATTTTAGCTTCACGATTCTTTGGCAGGTTTTTAATGTGCTTCATAAATAAGCTGACCTGGATGTTTTTCTTCCATAAAACACTTGTTTTTGTGCTTTTCTCCCTGTGGTGAAGCAAAACTTTGAGCCTGTCAGTGGACCAGGCTCCAGATTTAAAGGTAAACACTCCCTGGACAGCGATGAAGAGGACGACGGCGACGGCGCAGAGAGCAGCAAATACAATATTCTCGACACTGATGATGTGGAAGGTAGGTGCTGTTGAATATTTTAAAATAAACTTTTACAAAATTATTTTCAGCCACTTGAATTTGCACAAATTGTTTACTAATGTAAGTGTGTTATATTGGGATTTTATGTGATGGAGCATCATGTCAGAGTGGAAAGAAAACCAAATTTCTTATGAATGAAACTGTTTTATGTGTTTATAAAGCGTTTATATTAATCCCCCTCAACTTTGCTACCCCTAAATAAAATCTAGTGCAAGTAATTGCTTTTAAACATCATTCTTAAATAGAGTTTGGATTTTGTGTAAAAACACAAAATCTTACAAAGTATTTTTGGTCTAGTTTCTAGTTCTTGGCACACTAGAAATAAGACAAAACTAACTTACAAGTAAATTTTCAGCAAGACAGGAGCTCGTTTTAGGCAAATAATTTCTTAATATTGGTGAAAAAGTTCTAGTTCCACTGCCGCCGTAACCTAGCAACCTCAGCCAAACCTAGCCGTTACCTAGCAACTCAGTTCTAGTTCCACTGACAGATTATTTCACTTGTAGCAAGGGAAAATGTCTTGTTATAAGTGAAATAATCTCCCAGAGGAGCCCATACTTTTTTATGAATAAAATATATTGCAAAAAAGTTTAAGTCCACATCACCCACTGCTATTGCTAACTAAAACGTTGTTTGCGTTAACCAAAGCACTAATCATAAACATTACTTCTGGTAATGCTAAAGCGCTAAACCATCATTGGATTTATTAGAGCTAATGCTAAAGCGCGGAAGCTGACAACAAAAAAAAGCTGACCAAGGCACATAGGGAGATAACAGCATCCCTTCAGCTAACCGCTATTGATTTGTTGTGTTGACTAGTAACTTCTTGTCTTCAACTTCATTCATTTATATTTTATTTTATACATCAAAACAGCCAAGTAAATTAGTGCCTTACAATTTGCCCAGAAACATTAATTTGGGGGAAGCTAAGTACGCTAAACGTTTTCAAAGTTAGCAACATTAACTAAGCCAAAAATTAGCTGTTATTGTTAGCCTATTAGCGGAAAATATGCCAAATGAAAACCAGGTATCATTTTCATCCCTTTCACTATTATCCACTGCTTTGTCTTGATCATATAAAATCACATAATGTCATTTTTGCAACTTTGCAAAACACTGTATGCTTCATTCTTCTATTTTCAATGATTATTATTTCACTTTCTACTGGATTTTAGATGCACTGTTTATAAAATTCATCCAGAGACAGATGCTGTGAGTTAGCTTCTGCTGTAAACACTAAGATGCAGACATGGGGCTGCTGTTCTGTTCAGATTGTCTATGTTGATTTGTGTCTGTCCCTATCAAATAAACTTAAATTAATTAAATTCTTTTAGTTTATTAATTGCAAGGTTATGCTTTAACTTAAAAATCAATAGTTGGAATTTGTTTGATTTGTCAATGGAAATGTTGTTTTTTAGGCCAAGAAGGAGCAACAATTGACTACGACGAAGGAGTTTCCATTACTCCTTTTAACCTGGAGGAAGAGATGCAAGAAGGACACTTTGACTCCGAGGGAAACTATTTCATCAAAAAAGAAACGCAAATTAGAGACAACTGGCTTGACAACATAGACTGGGTATTTAGATATAAAAGAACATTATGTTTGCTTTATTTGCTCTTTACAACATTGCAAAATTACAAAATCTAACCAAGTATTGTTTAGTTTCTAGTGCAAATATCTTAGTACAGTGGAAATAAGAAAAAACTAACTTATAAGTCAATTTTCACCAGGATATAGGAGCTTGTTTAAGTAAATGATTCATGAATATTGATGAAAATGTAGTTTCACTGGCAGAGTATTTCACCTAAAACAGGGGTGTCCAAAGTGGGTCCTGGAGGCCCGGCATCCTGCATGTTTTAGTTTTCTCCCTAGTGGTAGCAACAACCTCCTCAGCAAGTTAATGTTCTCCTTAGGCCTCTAATGAGCCATCATTTGGTGCAGGTGTGTAAAACCAGGGAGAGAACTAAAACATGCAGGATGCCGGGCCTCAGGACCCACTTTGGACACCCCTGACCTAAAACATTGGAAAAAGTCTTGTTTAATTTCCTTTTGGGACTGATTAAAGTATTTTTAATTGAGTAAGTGAAGTAATCTGCCAGTGGAACTAGAATTTGGTTGCTAGGTGACGGCCTGGCCTTGGCTGGTGTTGCTAGGTAACGGTGTAGCATATGCTGATAGTGACATA